TTTTTTTTTTTTTTTTTTTTTTTTTTTTTTTTTTTTTTTTTTTTTTTTTTCTTCTCTTACATTCTCCCAGAAATTTCTCTCTCTATAATCCTCCGCTTCTGTCTCTCTCAACGGCTTCATTTTGAATTTTTTCTGCGTCTTTGAGCTGGAAGACCCTTCGCTTTTTTGGCGTTCGTATTTCTCCGATGCGGTAGTTGAGTTTCTACTTTCGCCCCCACCAAGAACGTTACTCTTTTTGAGGGTTTCCGTGCTTTTCAATCACTGTTTCGTCGCGATTTTAGGTATAATTCCTGCTTTTTTTCGTTCTTTCTTTGTTTTCCTTCGATTTTAATTTTTCTTGTTCTCCGATTATGATGATTTTCTTCCCTTGGACGAGATTTGATGGAATGTGAAGTCTCTGGAAACGTTCCTAACCTGTTTAAATCTTAGATCCATTGTGGAGTTTCTTTGAATTTGAGGGTGGAGTTTTCGATTCTTTTTGTTGTTCTTTAAATAGCTCTGTTCAGATTTCTTGATTTCATATTCTTCAGGGGAAGGGAATTCCATTGTTTCGTTTCATGACGTGCAAATTTATGGATTCCATTAATAAAATACTGATTTCAACCTCGGATTCCTTTTTTTGGAATTCTCTTGATACAGAGTCTGTTTGTTTTGCATGTTATCTGTTGTACTCTTAATGACAGTTCTGAATTCAATTTTTTTAAAAGGAAAGATTGATTCTGTATCAAATTTTGTGCGTATGTTCAGGTGGAGGTATAAAACTGGCCTTGTAAGGATGGCATCTGGAGGTCCTTATTTTGATGATTTGCGGAGCAAACCAGAGGTTATTGATCCTCCCCAGAATGAAGATATGATGGACATCAGGGAAACTGTGGACGATCCAGCTCAAAATGAACTTAAACCGAACGTTGCTGTTTCGAGCAGCGTTCGCGATCTCTTGGAATGCCCGGTGTGTTTGAATGCAATGTACCCTCCAATACATCAGGTTTGGTTATGAATTGCTTAGTTCATCTTTATGTGATGTGGTTAACTTTGCAGATTCTATGATTATGGAGGTTTGTTTTTAGTGTTTAACCAAAAAGAAGAAGGATTATAGTTAGAATGAGCTGAGTGAAATGCTTCCTTTTGGAATCTATTATCAATTCTTGTACATTTTGGTCTCTCAAAGTTTTATACCTTTCAAAAGGGATGTGCTTAAGCTTACGGGTGATAGCATTTTCTTTAATGGTGTTCTTTTTTGTTTCTGTAGTGTTCAAATGGTCACACACTGTGTTCTGGTTGCAAGCCTCGGGTGCACAATCGCTGCCCGACGTGCAGGCACGAACTTGGGAATATAAGATGTCTTGCATTGGAGAAGGTGGCTGCATCTCTAGAACTTCCATGTAAATATCAGAGCTATGGCTGCATTGGCATATATCCATATTACAGCAAGGTCAAACATGAATCCCAATGTGTTTATAGACCTTATAGCTGTCCATATGCTGGATCGGAATGTTCAGTCGTCGGTGATATACCCTATTTGGTGGCTCACCTGAAAGATGATCATAAAGTAGACATGCACAGTGGAAGCACATTCAACCATCGATACGTAAAATCGAACCCTCAAGAAGTTGAAAACGCTACGTGGATGCTAACGGTAATTTTCCACGCAGACCATACCGTCCACTCTGTTCCTTACTGTATTGGGCAGGAAAATCGCATTGGCATATCTTATGCATATTTTGAGCCATTAAATTCATGTTAGATGCATAAATTTTAGTGATTTAACATTGGCATGAAACCATGCACTTCTTTCGAATTCTTCTGTTAATGGAACTGGGAAATTGAGCATAAGAGATGCTCAATTTGATTTTGCTGTCATATATCAGAAAGTGTACTCCCCTGTAGATTAGACTATTTCTGAAATATTTCTTATTGTTTAGAGCTCGGAGTACCTAAGTAACAGGTATTTGAGTTAGGCTTGTAACCCTGAATAGCTATGCTCGTCTCCTATAAGACTAGATATCCTAAGTAGGTGTAGCCACTTTACTGCATTTGTGGTGACAAATATTTCTTATTGTTTAGAGCTCGGAGTACTTAAGTAACAGGTATTGAGTTAAGTTTGTAACCCCGAGTAGCTATGCTCGTATCCTATGAGACTAGATATCCTGAGTAGGTGTAGCCACTTTAACTGCATTTGTGGTGACAACAATCTCACACCGACCACGTGGAAGAGATTTTGCTAGTTCAGAAATCTAGGGTCCTCATTGTACTATCATTCTGCAAACCTATAGCTTATATTTAGCTTTGAATTCTTGATTGTGGGATGACTCTGATTTAGAATTTTAAAACTCAGGTTTTCAGTTGCTTTGGTCAATACTTTTGCCTGCATTTCGAAGCTTTCCAGCTAGGGATGGCGCCAGTATACATAGCCTTTTTGCGGTTCATGGGGGACGATAACGATGCAAAGAACTACAGCTATAGACTCGAGGTGGGTGGAAATGGGAGGAAGATGGTATGGCAAGGGGTGCCCAGAAGCATCAGGGACAGCCATCGGAAAGTTCGGGACAGTTTCGATGGGCTCATTATCCAACGCAACATGGCTCTTTTCTTCTCTGGTGGCGATCGGAAGGAACTAAAGCTTAGGGTGACTGGTAGAATTTGGAAAGAACAGTGATACTTCAAATCTTGGCGAGTGGTCGGTCGGTTGGTTCGTTTTTGTAGAGTAAATGAGGCTTTCTAATCATGTGTTTCTGTTTCTAATTAAGATGCAAACACTTCTTGCTCTTACATGAAACCATGATTTAGAAGAACTTCCCCTCCATTGATGATTATCAATGAAGAACTGAACTTACTCATATTTCCCTGTTGAGTATTAGCGGTATCAGTTATTACCCCATTGCTCCTGTTCAGTCATTGGATCCAGTTTATAAAATTTATGAAAATAATGATTATATGGTTAAATTTGTAAATGACAGGACATTTCATGCTGCCTGCTCAGATGTTTCAAAGACAACACTTGGGAAGAACAGGTTCGATTCCTTGAACTTTTTTTGAAGTGTGCGTGCACAAGTTCTCTTTCGAGTAGTTCGTGTGAATGTACGCAACATGTTCGTAGAATTAATGTGGAGTTGAGTTTCATATGATAGTACAGACTACACATTGTCACTTAACAATGCATAAACTGAAAAACCACAAGTTCTAGAACTGAATTAGGTTAAAACTGGCTTTCATTGGGTACACGAGATGTTATCAGAGCTAATTGGATATCTGTTCTAAGTAGAGTCTTAAGCCAAATATGCATCTCATCCTTGCAGATGATACTCCCAGGCTGCATCCTCTGTTCTAGACAACCCGCACAACATTATTTCCTAAATTCAAGTTAAATTTAGGTGGTCTTAGCTAAATATGCATCCCATCCCTGCAGACGATACTCCCGTGCTGCATCGGCAGGATTTGCTGCCTTTATTATCCCGCGCCCGACTATTATGATATCACTTCCTCTGTCATGGATAACCTGCACAACATTGTTTTCCAAATTCAAGTTACATTATGCTCATGTGCCAATTGATTTGTTTGGATACTCCTAGGATTTTATTATCTTAAGTAAGTGAATATTTTGGGATTTGAACTCATTCCTTCAAAGTACAGTTAGAAATCAACATGCATGATAATCTCTCTTTTTAATCATACGAATAACAAAACGAAAACAAGAAAGAACAATACTTCTCTATATCAACAACCAATTCGAATAAAGAAAGATTAAAAAAGATAAAGTCCAACAACCAATTCGAGTAATTGATAAGAAACAGAAGACGAGAAGAAAATATTGGATAGAACTTACAGAATATGGGGTATTGTATTGCTGTCCAAGATTGTCACCACCCTTGACCATTTGGACTCCAGGGGTGGCATGAATGAATGTAGGATTTCCAGGCGCACCTGGCCAGGATGCTGGATTAACAGAAATGAAGCCAATGACGAAATCAGAATGCTCTTCTGCAATTCTAACGGCTGTGGATGTGTAGTCTCCTGTGGCAAGATTTCCAGCTGAGCTCATTTCAGCTAGCAGTAAAAGACCCCTACCTCGAGGCAACCCCTACGCCATCCAGAAAGATAAATACATTTAGGAAATGTAATATGAGATCCCACATCGGTTAGTGAGGAGAACGAAACATCCCTTATAAGGGTGTGGAAACCTCTTCCTAGTAGACGCGTTTTAAAAACCTTGAGGGGAAGCCCAAAGAAGACAATATCTACTAGCGGTGGGCTTGGAGCGTTACATGTGTATCAAAGAAAGCTTCATTTGTCTAGAAGAATACTTTTAGCAAATAGTAGTTTCAGATGAAAAAAGCACAAGAATTTCATCTCAAAAACCATTTTAATACCCTTTAAGAGTTTCTTTGGATTGAAGTTATGAAACGGGCTTAAACGATCTTTAGAGTGTTGGTGCATACCTTTAATTTCAATCCATCTACAATTCCAGGACCAGAAATAATGTGGGCATTGACTATATCTGCCCAGTCTAATATATGAAAAATACCTCTGCATTTGCAAACACAAAATTTCAGGAACTCCCGGGGGATTGCTGGAAAGTAAAAGAAAATGTAAATAAGAGACGGAAATGTTGAGAGGCCCACCCTTCATACTGCATTGTTACTGTATTTCCAATGTCTGCAAACTTGCGGTCTTCAAAGATTAAGAAGTTGTGTTTCTTAGCAATCTGCATTGCAGTGAGTTGTTGTAAGCTATCATGCCAAAACACAAATTCAGATAAGAAATAGCAAAAAAAAACAATAGACAAGAACTACAAGAAAGAGCTTAGATTGTTGTTGAGATAGGAGACAAAAGAATAGACAGATTTCACTTCGAATCATGGACATTATGTCTAACCGTAGCCTGCACCTCCCTCAAAAAGGGCACCACATATGAGGAAATTAACCGTGAGGCATCAATACAATCCAGCTTGATATCATAATGTTGGTATTGGCAATCTAGAACTAATGAAATGCTGGTAATGTGAAAACAGAGTGCCAACTAAACAAGTTCACAAGTTAACGATACTATGTACAGTCTAAGTCTGTTGCTAGTAGATATTGTCCATTTTGGCCCGTCACGTATCGCTGTCAGCCTCACGATTTTAAAACACATCTACTAGGGAGAAGTTTCCGCACCCTCTCCAACCGATGTGAGATCTCACAATCCACCCCCTTGGGGCCCAGCGTCCTCGCTGGCACACCGCCTGGTATCTGACTCTGATATCATTTGTAATAGACCAAGCTCACCATTAATAGATATTGTATGTTTTGGCCTATTACGGATCGTCATCAGCCTCACGATTTTAAAAGGCATCTACTAAGGAGAGGTTTCCACACCCTTATAAGAAATGCTTTGTTCCCTCTCCGATTAACGTGAGATCTCACGTATTCTTGTTATCATCAACCAAGGTATCTGGCCAGCAATACTACCGTATACAAACAAGCATTAACAACAAACCTGTGTCTATAATAAGTACAAAGAAAGAAAGATTCTGGAAGAAATATACCGAGCGAAGTTTGGAACCGAAGTCGGGGGTGAAATCTGGCAGTATATCCACATGAGTTTTCAGCAAGCAAATCTCTGGCCCAACCTGATTGACAAAAATGGTTTATACTTCAAACCCAATTCATTTTCATCTTTCTTTATGATTTCGTACATTGGTTTAATCTGGGTGTTAATGAGCAAAGCCTAGAAAATTCAGAAATTCTAGAATGCTCTTACTTTCTCAGCGATGTCGAGCAGCTCCGCGGCGGTGCCAACATCGGCCGCTACGCACAAATTGCTTTCCTTCTCGATCATCACCTCGAACAGCCTCTTTCCCATCGGATTCTTCGCCAACCTCGCTCTTTCTTGAAAGGAAATGGACTTAGCTCTAACAGGCTTCTCCACTTTCGGCACCGCAACCTTCCGATTCTCAACCAAGAATTTCCCCACCACCCCTTCCATTTCTTCTCCAACAATCCCCTTCTCCTTCAAGATCCTCACCACCTCGCTCAACTTAATCGTCGAATGCAATTTAATCCCATTCTCCTCCAAATTCTCTCGCCCACCCTGCTCTCTATCAAGCAACACAACCGCATCACTCACCTTCATCCCCGCCGCCCGCAGCGGCGCAGCAGTCTCCAAAACCGACGCACCGCTCGTCACCAAATCCTCAATAATCAAACATCGTTGATCCATTCGGTAACGACCTTCGATCGCTTTCGCAGTGCCATAATCCTTAATCTCCTTCCGGCGCATAACCATCGGAATATTGTTTAAAACGGAGATGCAAGTCGCAATAGGAAGAGCGGTGTAAGGAACACCGCAAACGAGGTCGTAGGAGGTAGATGAAGGAAGAGAAGAAATTAGGGTTTTGGAAATTCGAGTGAGCAGCGAAGGATAAGAAATAATAACGCGAAGATCAATGTATATTGGAGAGTTTATACCAGTCTTGAGCTTGAAGTTGCCGAACTTAACAGCAGAGATTTCGTGAAGTTGCAAAACTAAGGACTCCATCGCCGGAGAAACTGTTGCTGGTGACATTGCGTGGAGCTTCTGCGCCTGTATATCAATGGCGGACAGAGAGAAGCATTGATGAGGACGATAAGAAGGGATCAGCTTTTGGCTTGTATGGGATTTTGCCACTGGCTGTGCGAAATGAAATTTCAAATATATTTCCTTTTGGTCCCTTTTCTTTTCCATTTTATGCTTTTTGGAACTTTACAAATATAATATTTCCCCCCTCATCTTATGCTTATTACACATTTATTCCCCAATTTTTCCTTTTTTTTATATTTGCTCCTCAAAACTTTACAAAGTTTCCATTTAACTCTCGTTACGGTCATACATTCTTAACTGTGTGACATCATAATATTGACACGCTCATAACTAGTCTTGGGGGAACTCAAGCCCGTGTTGTTGGACTTTGAGTGAGGTTCTTCTTCGCCAACCGAACACAACTTGTGCGTAATTCAAGCTTCTTCGGTCGCACACGTTGCTCGTGCGTACATGTTCAATTGTCTGCGACTCTAACCGACTTGCATCTACATTAAGTCTAGTCATCCAACTCGACCTTGCATCTACTCTACGGCAAAGTCTCTCTCAACAATGCATCACAGTCGTCATCTTGGTTCAACAGGACCATGCATCATAATGTCATCCTATGTCTCGGAACAAATCGACCATCTTAGCTTGTTAAAACATGTCTATCGGGACTAACCCATGTATTTTATAATTTTTTTGAAGAGTAGAAAAAATATTGATGAGATATTTTAAGGTTCAATTGTATTTTTTGAAACATTATTAAAATCACAAAGATATTTTAAAAATAAATTATTAACGGTTTCCATTCAAAATTAAAGATATTTTTTTTAGTCGGTAGTTTTTATTTTATTTTATTATTTTATTATTTTTTATAAATATTTAATAATAATTTGAATTTATTTTTTTTGCTGCCTAAACTAACCCTCCGACCCTCTCTCATTCGTTATTACTTAAAAAGAAGATTGTTAATTATTTTATTTTGAAGCAATTAATTGTTAATTATTTTATTATGAACTAATTAAAAAAATATTAAATACCTGTTTGGAATCACTCAAATCACATCCATTTCATATAAACCATGAAACTACGTTCACCGGACGAAAACGGATGAATTTGTTTGGAAAATCATCGGACCATTTTATTTTCTCCCCAATTCAATTGGATTTTATTTTCTCTCCAATTCAATTCGATTTTGTTGCTAACCGACACAAAATTTTGAGCAATGAAAATCACGTTCTGATGATGACATTTGCTCTCTGATTTCCGTTTTTTCTCTGCATTTCTTCCACACAATTTCGTTGAAATCGGTTTTCGATAGTTCTTCGAAAATTTTCGTTTATGGATGGATTTCTTGCCTTTTGTATGCGCAATGATTTGCAGATTTTCATTTAAATGCATTGAACTATCGTCAGCGTCGCGCCTCCTCCGTTTCTAATCTCTTGTATGGTAAGCATCGATTGGTGTTTTTCATGTTGTTTGTTATGCGTATTTTGGTTTAAATTTGGCGCCGAAGTGTTTGGTTTTCGTTTTTGATTTGCTTGCTTGTGGATTTTGATTTTGTTTCGTGCAGAGAAGAAGCCAGGGCAGAATCATGTTAATCTAGGCTGTTCATTTCATTCGTCAATTTGTCAAACCTGTAAGAACACCTTTGATTTCCTATTCACTATGTTTATTATGCTCTCTCTCAAGTTTTAGATTACGACCTAGATCAATGGGGTCCAGTGGATGAGCTAAGAGCATGGCTGTTTTCAGATTGCTCCATTATTTCATGATTTGTGTGCACGTTATTTGAGGCTGAAGATGTCAACCCAGCACCAGAATGCGGATTCTAATGCCGTTTCAGGTATTTTTCATCTCTGCAAATGATTGTTCATTGCAATAGCCCAAGATTTGTTCGTGTTTGTGTTCGTGTTGATTAATTGTGGGAGAGAGGAATTGAAGGGATGGAATTCTTGTGATATTAGAATGAAAAATTCACTTGACTAGCTTGGTGGAAGTTCTACTGTTACCCAAGACTGGAAGAAAACTTTGAGGCTAAAGATTTGAATATTAATTCTAAGTAGAGCAGTGAATTATCCAATAGGAAGTTAAGGGACCTTACAGAAGCTAAATGGCCAGTTTGGCGGGTTTGATAGTGTTGATTAAGTTAACTACTGATTAATTGGATTTCTCTTCCTTTGAAAAGTGCAGCTGCTTCTACTTGGCCATCAGTCTGTAAGGATTTTTGTATTTTTCCTCTAGGTCTTATTATTTTGAATTAGAGCTCCTTTTTGTATAGTTAGCTTTGAGGCTTCTTTTGTTGGGTTGTCTTTTTGTGCCATCTCGCTTGTTTCTGTGTTCTTTCATTTTTTCCAATGATAGTTATTGGGAAGCTTTAGATGCATTTATTAGAAGCTTTTGAATGCTCTAGATCATATTGACCCATTCCATCCAAACAATACATGCTTCATAGTCGAGATGAATAAAAATCAGATGCTATTTAAAGTGTGTTGATAGGTTTCCAAGTTTATGTTTGATGGAAGGTTTTCGATTTTCTAGATGCCCCTTGGAGGTTATGTTGTAAGTGGAACAATGTATCACTACAGATAGAACTGGTTTTTCGATTAAATATGGATTATCGACTATAGAAAAAAAAAATTGGAGTATGGGCTATCATAATTGAGGTGGAGGCTGGGTGGAGAGAGATCTAGGATGAATGTGAGATCGACACTTAATTATTTGAAATGTGGTATCCTTTCGACCATTGTAATCTCTCCTATGAGCTAGATAATTTATATTTCCAGCTGATAGTTATTAAACCTTGATCTTGGATATTACAAAATCAATTCATTGAAAACTTCGTTCATATACTTCCTTTTATGAGAGTATGCATGATGATTGACAATATAATAAACACATTTTGTAGTAGGTAACATGAACACCAACAGTTAAAGACATTTATTTCTTTCTATGAGGTCGGAGATTCAAATTCCTACTCCAAAGCTTTTTGATTTTTTATTGAGATGATACATTATGATGATGTGTTATATAATTGATCTTCCCCCACTCAAGGTTAAGAACTGTTTGGGCACATTAAGTTTCTTATGGATCCAGATCAACTACTTTGATTTGAAGACAGTTGTCCCATTTGATTATGTTTTGGAAGGGTCTTACTTTAGGATTGAAATGAATTATCCATCTGGTCTTGTGTGTTTTTTTCTTTTTGTTGTGGAGACTGGAAATAAGGGTGTATAGATAATCGTCACAGACTTATAGGATTTACACTTACTACTACATGAGTAAACACACATTATTTATCATTTGTTCAAACAGACTGTTGGGACCTGTTCTCTGTTATCTATAATATTGGGTTACTACACATATAGCTTAAAAAAAGTGGGCATGTATCTGTTGTCACTGACCTATGAAGAGCTCAGCTCGTGCACCTTCATTACATTGAAATCTCCTTGACACGATTCAAATGTGCCAGGCGCTTCTCTCTTTGATCTCCTGTTTCCAGATTCAGAAATGCCAGGCTGGGACTGCAGTCGAACGCTGTCTGGTATTACATCTTCATCTCTCAATATCTTTGTAATTGCAATAGCACTTATTAAGGAATATTTTTGAAAGAAGATGGAGCCAACTCCTGGAGGAAGTGTTAAATGTCGGAAATGCAATGTTTTGTCAACCTGTTGAGTCGATGACAAGTTTTCCTAAAGAAACTCAACCTCAGGAGATTAGTTAATTACTGAGTTTGGAATCTTTTTTAACTTCAGTATATGATCTTTTACTGTAGCTTGGGTAACATCAGAATGCTTAGTTTAGCTGTCAGATCTTTCACTCTTTTTCATTTCTTCAATTCTCTATGATTTCTTGTATTCAGATGCAGAAACACAAAGCTGGAACTGGAAGAATGATCAACAGCTCTCTGGTATTATATCTTTATAACTGTAATAGCACTTATTAATATTGTAGAAAGTAGATGGAGCTAAATGCTATAAAAGGTTTTATTGTAGCAGATGTAAAGTCTAGTCAACCTGCTGATTCTTTGACCATTAATGTCTTCCATTCTGAAAAAGTACTGACATGAGATTACTTAAATGTGAAATAGGGATCATTCTTAACTCTAGAAATAATCTTTTACTGTAGTTTGGGTAACATCAGAATATTCAGTTTAGCTGTCAGAAATTTCACTCTTCAAGGCTTCCAATGGGCTGCTGTGATTAAACTTTTGGACGACCATACTCCAGCTGACAACCTTGATTGTCTGTGCTGCCAGCAGGAAGCACCTTTTTTGCCTTACTTTTTTCTCCCATTCCATTTGATGCAGTACTCTTGAAGTTCCCTAATTTTTTCCCAGTGGGGGAAGATAAGGGCGGCCTGTGGGACAAAGTTAGTGGTATGAGGGAAGTCAAGGCTCATAGTGTGTGAATCCACAAAAGACCTTTAATCTTAGGGGCGCAGGTGTGCTACAACGAGAACTTTAAAGTCAACTGAAAATTGTATGTATGCTACTAGAGCATGATGCCTACCAAACATGATTTTTTTTTTTTTAAGAAACAGAGTTTTCATTGAGAGAAATGAAAAAGTATACAAGGGCATACAAAAAGATACACAGTCAAACAAAGGTCCAGCAAAAGGAGCCCAACAAACTATAATAAGGGAACTCCAATCTAAAAGAATGAAAGGTAGAGCTGAGTTAAGGCGTAGGCACAATGGTGATGACTTCCAAGCATGATCATAGGACTAGCTTTCTAGAGCTAAGTTAAGGCATGCGTTGTTTCTATTGTGCAACTTTTGGTTTCCACTTATGATTTGGGATGTAGTGGATACTTCTAAAGAAAGTGCTAAAATGCCATCCTGCATAAGAACCCCGTTTTTAAGGGCTTCTTTTCCAGCTTAAGAAAGAGATAGAAGAAAACTTTTCTTCTTTCATTTGAATGTCTCCGTCTTGTGTCAAAATGTTTTTGTTCCTGTCATACTCCCAACCTCTTGTGTCCTACCAGTATCCTTTTATCTCAAAAAAAAGGCCCTCTTTATGGGTGCTACAGATAGCTATAGAGGTAGTCTGGAAGAAGGGTTCGGAAAACACTTTCTACTTTTTTTTTAATAGAAAAACAGTTTTTGATAAATTTTTTCAAGATAATTTTTAAAAATAGTTTTAAGATAGTAGAAAATGAACACAGTATATTTTTTTGCATGTATTTTCTCTAGTACTTTTTTAGATAACTGTTTATATATGATCATCATGTCTTCCAAAGTAAAACTTGATTAAATGTGATTAAAGTTCACACGCCAAAGTACATTGTTCTTTATTCTATTTGATTATGTTCAGCTTGCAGGGTAAGAATTCTCTTCTTAAGACGAGGCAATCTTTCTCTTTTCCCTCTTCCTGTTAGTAATCGCTTTAGCAAGATTCTTCACTGGGGTTGACGAGGGTCGATTAAGGGGTTAACTATTGGTCAAAATAGGATTTGTGTCCATTTGCATCTTGTTGATGACACTTTTTAGATTCCTCACAAATATCAAATGATAGCAACCTTCTCAATTTGGCTTCAGTTTTCCTTTCCTTTTAACTTTTTTTGTGGCTTCCAGTTCCCACATTCTATACTGATCACTCTCTTAGTTTCACGATAGAGACAGGTCAACTCAGTCTTGCTGTATGTTATAAACCAATAGAACCCAAATTTTAAGGTCTTGTACCTGATATTGGTTTTAGTTATATTTTTGTTCAGATTAAGTATGAGAATATTTTGTTTCTCCAATTCTATTTGCTGTTGCATACACGTGTTTCTACTTTCTCGAGTGTTGCATCAATTTCTCATTGATAACAATAATGTGTTATTTTTATGTTCTTTTGGAACATGAGGTGTGTTTCTATTAGTCTTATGTATTCTCCTGACATAGTAGAAGAAGCTATGTGAACTATATTCATTTGTGTTACCTTCAATCAGGACCCCAGAAAAGATTGGAAGATCTCTTGTGTCAGCCTGGTAACAACTTGTGTGCAGATTGCGGATCACCGGATCCAAAATGGGTGTAAGTCTAAGTGTTTTGTTTAATTTTTCGTTCGTACAAGTTCTTTAAGTCCTGATTAAGTTGTAATGTGGCGTGTGGGAAATGTGATGAAAATTTTAAAAGCTCAATGCCATTGAATTGTTCAAGGGAGAGATCCATTCCTTGGACTCAAATTTCTTCTGACATTGTATAAATTACAAAAGGATCAATTACTTTTAACACTTTTGGTGTCTTAGGTGGTTTCAACTTTATACAAAATGTAACATCTCTTACCTTTGATATACACTAAAACTTCTCAACATATATATTCAATATTCAGAGTTTAGTATTTTGTTCTTAACCTCTGGTTTATGGATGCAGATCGTTAAATTTGGGAGTGTTTATCTGTATAAAGTGTTCTGGAGTACACAGAAGTCTAGGAGTTCATATCTCTAAGGTTTCTCCTTTTCTTTTTCCTTCTCTTCTTATGGCATTTTTATAATCCTAATAGCAAACACTTAAGGTACGTCTTGACCGTGCTGCTTGATGACGTGATAGTTTTGGATATGCTTTTCATGATAGAAAATTTTATAAAGAACATTGTCAAAGAGTCTGATATTTCAGAATCACAATCCAAATAATAGATAGCACTTGATCTTTTAAAACTCATCATCAACCCTCAAAATACTTTGAAACAGTGCACCCAAATGAATGAAAGTTAGATATGGACGATCACATTGACTCCTTTGAGTGTAATATTGCTCTAAATTTTCAATACTCGAATAGTTCGTGTTCGGGCTTTAAGAAATCAGTATAATTTCTGTCGAGGACAACTCTCTGGTGGAAAATCATGGATGAACCCTAAGAGAGGCTCTTGATGACAAGAGATTGGGATACTCAGAGGAACCCTATAAAGTCTTGGTTTTAAGCCCCAGGTGGAGACCTTAATTTAAAACCTTTGCTATCTCTAGAAGTTGGCCTTGGAATGTACAAACTCCTGAGATTAGTAGGGGTAATCCATGAGCATGATGCAAAGACTTGTTTCAGTAGTAATTATAAATTTGGCTAAGAATTCAAGTTTCCTTACCAAAAACCAAGAACCAAATAGCAGGTCTGCAAACTATTTACTGTTATCATATTGACTTCGAATCTCATTCTTGAATGCTCGTATCTCATGCAATGCATTTTGTGAACTAAATTTATCAACAATAAATGTCAGGTTTTCTCAGTGAAACTAGATAATTGGACAGACGAACAAGTCGATACTTTGATGAGCATCGGTGGAAACACAGATGTAAACATGAAGTATGAAGCTTGCATCACCGATGGGCACATAAAACCGAAACCAGATTCCTGTATAGAGGAGCGCCACGACTTTATAAGGTATCACAAGTGTATGTTATTTCATGTATGGAGGAAATCAAATTATTGAGGATATTCTATTAAAGAATCACATTTTCTGTAAATTTAGGAGAAAGTATGAACTGCTGCAATTTTATAACGCCAGCAGTCAAAATTCTAGTGATAACAACTTATTGAATAAAAGCAGTTCATCATGCTCCCTAAGTAACACCCCAAGCAACAATGGTACCAACGACAAAAGGCCATATGAGAAACAACCTACTAGGTATCGCATTGGGCATGTATTTCGTACCAGCCGGATAATTAGAAGAGATAGTGAGCAGAAAACTTTAGACAAGAGAGGCCCTTCAGTCTCCAGACAAACATCGGTAATAACTGTTCTTTCTATTTTGCGTTTTGATTATGGATTTTTCTTATCAATAATTTCCTTCAGCTTTTAAGTTGTGTGTGGAGTGCGGAAGAGAATTACAAATTCCACTTTGTTTTGAAATTTTTGGTTGCTACCATTCTCTCCCAATTATAAACATTTGAAACTAACAAAATAGGGATCATTTGATACAATGGAGCCGCATAAATTTGTGTTTTAAGTTATGGACAACACATTCAAGAGGATGGCACTGAAAAAGCGCATCATTTCTACTGAGTTCAGCATGGTCTGATTAGCCAAAAATTAGTCTTGTCTCTCGATATAAATGCGTACCATGGCACCTTCTCCATCTATGAAAAGTTGAAAAATGAAAGCTGGAACTTTGATCTAGCAGTCAAATTTATGTTCGGGACTAGAGAATGAAATCCAAAAGCAAGTGTTGTGGCTTGAATTTTTTGTTTGATATGGATATTGCATCTTCTTACTTCAGATGTAATGTTTGTAGGCAGGTATGGTTGAATTTGTTGGCTTGGTCAAGGTTAATGTGGTTAGAGGCACAAACCTAGCTGTCCGAGACGTGGTGACCAGCGACCCCTATGTAATTCTCATGTTGGGTCAACAAGTGAGCCTCTCTCTTACATTACTTTGGTCCACATTTAGGGTGAAGATTGGTATCAGCTACTTTGCTATTTGGTAATGACTTCTATTGTCGTATATTGCAGTCAGTGAAGACTCGTGTTATTAAGAGCAACCTTAACCCAGTTTGGAACGAGAGATTAATGTTGTCAATTCCCGAGAATATCCCTCCATTAAAAGTGGTAAGCATCGAACATATCTTTTCAAATGTTAAAACATCAGAGAAGGAAATCATGAATTCAATATGCATACGCATTTAAGCGTCTGATTGTATTAGATCATTTACAGTGAGTAGTATACCAAATAATGATTTCTGCAGCTTCGTTAACGCATCGCTTGTATCATCCATCGTGTTCTTAGGCTTTAAATTCTATAATGTTCATCAAGGAGCCTCTTGTATGATCCTATGTTCTTAAGCTTTTGACTGTTTTAGATCATTTCCTCTTAGTAAGATACCAAAAGATGATTTCTACAGCTCGTCTATGATAAGGACACATTTTCAACTGATGACTTCATGGGTGAGGCTGAAATCGACATTCAACCATTGGTCGCTGCGACCAAGGCGTATGAGAAGTCCACAATTGATGAATCAATGCAGCTGGGAAAATGGATGGCGAGTACCGACAATACCTTGGTAAAAGATGGGGTCATTAACCTTGTAGATGGAAAGGTCAGACAGGATATTTCTCTAAGATTGCAGAATGTGGAGAAAGGTGTCCTTGAGATTGAGCTAGAATGCATTCCTCTCACACAATAGATGGCTGCTGATCCAAAAGCACAAGATTTGGAAATTACTTTGTTCGCTATGATGGAAGAACCTTCAATCCAATCCCAATCAAATGAGTTTAGCAAAAACAACCTGTTGTATATAATTGATATGTAATGTGTAAATAAAAAAGAGTGGTGGAATATATATGCTTAGATTAATCTACCCTTGTTTGTTTCCGCTGTGTTTATTGGTCCTTTCTTTGTTTGGAAATTGAGGTCATTTATTATGGTTGAAAGAGGATCTTGCACTGCAATATTTAGGTAAATCTAAACCTTCGTACGGTTATATATAGCTCAGCACTAATTGACATCTACTGATTTTGATTTTGAGGTCAAGTTAAAATTCGCTGAAATTTTGCAGGCATCAGGATTGTCCGTGTAAGATCTGATCTGTTCATTCCAAGGTCATCTTTCATGATAGGAAGTAGAACAATACCGATGAGTTCATCAACAACATCTTCATGAATTCTATTTTGATCCTAAAAGCACAACAATCAAGATCTACAATGATATTCAATTCAAACAATTGATGAAGTATAGTCAATTGATGTTAGTCGATGCTTAGCTAAACTAACTACTGCCTTAGCCCTGCCAAGTGAAATAGGATATACACCTAAAAATGGTTCTCAAGTCCTCATATATTGGAATGTGAGTCAAGCATGGCACAAATGATGAACATTCATTCCTATGTTTGGAAAAGAACAAAATCCATGTTCAATTATAAGAGTGCATTTACCTGGCTGTTTTTCCAATCACTAGACAATGTTCTTCAAAGATCTGTGAATTGCAGCTCCGTCGGTGAAACAGGGCTGAAAAAATGCCAACTCGAATCATGGAAAGCACCAAAATAATCATCTGAAAGTGTCTTGATTTTGATCTCGCGTGTGAACTTTCTTGAGGCTAAAATGTACTTTGCTGAATCAACAACGGGTGAGCTCTTGAATTCAGATACAAACTGTTCATAGATCTCAAAGCTATTTCCAAACAGCACAACGTGATTCAACAGCTCCACCGTCCAATTTTCCTGTAAAAGATTGTCGTACAGCTCTGCCTCGCAATGGGGCATAAAGAACAATGTTGCCTTCTGCGCACATCGCCGTCCTTCCTCATTTACTGATAGAACGGAACAACCAAAGGATTCCATTACCCGACATTCAGTTGCAGAAAGAATTGGATCGAACACCTCCAAACTTCCAATCCAACTAAATTTTCTCTTCAACAAGATTGCAAGACTGAGCTGCAATCGAGGATTTTCGTAATTCTCTATGCTTCCAACGCCATAGATTACCATCTCCATCTTTGATTCCGAGGCCAAAACCCTATTTAAGGATTCCAAGACTGGCGTCGTTCCAAGCTCGTCAATAAGAGTTCGATAAAATTGGGAGCTCTCAACTTTCTTAATACAGATTTCCATCTTCTGCAACAGTTTCGATTCTCTGATTGCATCATTAGCCTGATCAGTGGGAGACCAAGTCCGCTGATCTTCTCGATTTCTGAGCTTCGGAAAAGTTTTCCTCTGCCTGCCGCGACGAGGTAGAACAACTGTCCAGTCGCCATTATTTGACTGATCCGGAACCGCGAGAGTTTTTGCCGACGCTGCCATCCGTCAAGAGATAATCGTCCAGTCCTGATTACAGCTTCTCTTTTCTAACCAAGAATCTTCCGAAAGCAGAAAATTCTGCATTAAATATATAAAAAAAAATCCAGCACATCAAAATCGTGAATGAACTCATTCTACTGCTGAAAGCGAGACAGTACGAACAAAATGAAATCAAGGAAATAGTGAACATTAAAGCTCAGATTCAGGGTGCATTAGCTTGGATTCAATCAAAAGATCGCCAAATTGAATCAATAGCACAAAACTGTATGTGGAAAGAAAAAAAAAAAAAAAAAAAAAA